TAGTGAGAGACCTGTTTTTAATATCCAACCTAAATTTCCCTTGCTGCAATTTAAGACCTTTACTCCTTGTTCTGTTTCCTGCAGCCAAAAGGGAACAGTCTATCACCATTCTAATATTATAAAACCCTAAGTCTGTCTGTCTGTCTGTCTGTCATGCTTTATGCACGCTCCAAGTGGCTGACAAACAGCCAGAGTGCAGACAAGCATTTGAACAGGAGCTGGTGGTGGTGGTGGAGTGCTGCCATGATGGTGGGGACACAGGGGATGGTGGGGGGGAGGCAAGGCCGGCACACCTACTCCTTGCAAATGGTGGCACGGGGGGTAGAGGAGTTGAGATGCTGCGAGGGGGCCCGGCCACAGGCTCTGGCCTCAGCCCTTCTCTCCCCACTTCCATCATTGCTGCCTGCAGGACTGAGGCGGCAGTGGTGGTTGGGGAGGAGCAGGCCCGATGCAGGTTGGGGGAATAGTGGGCATACCGTGGCGGTGGCAGCAGTGGGTGGAGGGGAGGAGTGTGCCTGGGCCTGGGCCCGGGCCCGACGCAGGCCAGGAGGAGGAACGAGCTTGAGCCGGGGAAGAAGCCGATTCAACACGGCAGTGCGGGAAGGGAGCAGTGCCCCGACACCTCCTCCCCTCTCAGGCATGGGCCTGGGCCCACTCCTCCCCCAGACCACCCCTGTCAGTTTTGAGCCCATCCCTCGCTCCTCCCATTCCCCTGCCGCTGCCGGGTCAGCCTGGGCCCGCTGCTCCCCGCACCCTGGTGGTCCAACTTCTCCCCACCCTCAGGCCCGGTCCTTCCCCCACATCGGGCCCCAGGCACACTCCTCCCTTCCCCCGACCTCTGCGGTGGGGAGGGGGAGAGCAGGCCCGGACCCCAAGCAGCAGGAGGTAAAGGGGGAGTGGGCCGGGATGAGGGGGGCATGGGGCTCTGTCCCTGCACACTCCTCCTCTTCCCCCATCATTCCTGACAGGCAATTGCCTAGTCTAACATATAACCACCCTTATTTGAATACTGTTGTTAGATCCCCACTATTTTGCAGACTAAGTAATGCCAGTTCTTTAACCCTTCCTCATAAGCTATGCTTTCTAGACCTTAAGTAATTTTTGTTGCTCTCTTCTGGACTCCTAATTTTGTTCATGTCTTTCTTGAAGTGTAGTGCCCAAAAATGGGTGCAGCCTAGGAACTGGATGCATATAGAGCCAGACCATGTTGGCATAAGAAATCTTTTAGAGCATCCACGCTAGCAAGGTTGTACCACTTTATAGCTGACATGTTAAAATTTTTATGAAGAGAAGACCTAAATGGCAGTAGGACCCAGTGTCTGTGAGGTAAACCAGCTTTCTTTCTTTCCTATTAATTTGGCTCATACGAACTGCAAGAGTTGATGTTGGCTCTCCTTTTGCTTGAATTCCCTATTGTTTGAAAAGAAGGTAACCATTATCACCTGAACATCAGCAGCCAGGTGATTACAGTTTGACTCGGGCTAGTGGTTGTTCTGCCTCTCAGGTAATGATTTAATTGCACACTTAACTGGAGGGGCTTTGATAACCATGACAGAAAAGCAAGGCTTCTTTCCTGCTCTATGAGGTTGCAGCTATTTATGAATGGAAGACAGAAAAAATTAAATGAGGGAAAGCAAATAGGAATCATAATTCTGAGTAGTAGACTCCAAAGAGTGCTTTTAACTGGGATGTATGTACTGTATTTTCTCCCCTATAACCTGTATCTTTCTCCCCCAAACCAGCTGGTGAAAACTGGGATGTGCATTTATATGCAAGAAGAACAAATCCCTGTGGGTGCAGGAATTTGGTGTGGGGGGAGCAGTAGCAATATTGAGTGTCATGAAATTTGCCTGCTGCCAGACTTCCAGATCTATGGGGATCATTCCCCACCCCTCCAGCAAGATGATATGGCCGTTTGCAGCCAGTTGGGCCAGCCTGCAGAGTTGGTCCTCAGCCACACCTGGTGCCACGTGCAGTGCCAGATCTGGGACCATGCATCATATCTAACCTAGCCTGTGGCCTTAGAGCTGGCATGCAGCCTGGGAGCCAGAATGTGGGACTGGCAGGAAGTTCAGGAACAAGCTTGCCTTCCTAGTTTCTGCTCTTCAGATACTTACATATGGTACCTCCTTTTTTTTTCTTCGTACTTTTTTCAAATCAAAGTATATGTTATTTTCAGGAGCAGGTTATATGCTAGAAAATATGGTATTCCCTTGTGTGCCATAGAATGCTTTTGAAATTAAGCATTTAAACATTTGCAAAATAATACTGAGATGAGCTTCCATAATAGAGCAGAGAAGTCTTATGAAGGAAACAAGAGTTGCTCATACAATTTTTGAGGGGCCAGTTCTGGGGGGTAGGAAGCAATCGGACAATGAAGCTACCTTTGGGGGCCTGTTGTCACCTGTTTCAAGAATGCCAGAGAGAGTGCTCAACATCAGCACCCAAGTTGTTCAGAGGGTGGCTTCACTACCTCCTTTCCAGGTTTGGCACATGCAGGGTAAGAGCAGGTAGATAGGGCCTGCTTCTTGGCAGCACTCTTAAGAGTATCGTATAAGTGGTATAGAGTTTGGGCATAGAATCCAGAGCTCCTGTGCTTCATAGGTGCTTCCTTCCTGTGCCCTTCTTCCAAACGCCCTGGTATAGATCTGCACCAGGACTGTCCAACTCGCAGCCCCCAGGCTTTTGCCTGGGTGCCAAACCACAAATCTTCCTCCTGCTGCCAGGGGACAGGCAGATGTAGGAAGGAGGCTACATAGCCTTGCATGTGGTTTGCACAGTATGTGGGCCCTAGTCCTATAGAAGCTATCATCTGCCTTATTTGGCTCCTACACAGAAAGAACCAAATGTCCAAGATAAGAGTGAGGAATAACTGAAATTCAGTCATTTCTGTTAGCCTACTTTTATTCCAGTATAGTCTTCTCTAAAATAAGGTTCAGCTTCTCTATGCCCACTGAATTTGCAGAGGATTTTATAAGACTGGGGGAGAAGGGGGAGTGGGGGGATTTGTTCATAGACCTGGATACAATACCACAAAATAAAACTCTCCATCTGTGTTATGGTGTTTTGTTTTTGTTTTTTAACTGATCTTCCACCTAATTTTTTTTTAAATCCATGATGTTTCTGAATACAGTGCAGATTTTTCAGTCTGGCAAGTGCTTATGAGAATATAGATATAAATATCCCATGAGAAAAATGACACACTTGTCTGCAGATGGGTTTTTCATCTGTCCTGCTAAGAACTGGTGGCATTGATCAAAAGATCCTTCATGCTACAGGGTCTTTCCGCTTTGTTAATTTCCTTCCATGTTATTAAGCATTTATCAGTAATGGATGACTTTGCTATCTGGAGCAGGTCAGCTGCACAGAAGAGCCTCTCTGACATGTATTATGATGCTCAAGTGTTCCTTGGCCTCAGTAAATGCACAACACTATAGAGGGGACTGCAATTCTTAGTGCAGTCAGAAGGCAGATTCTCCTTATTTTTTTTTCCTTAAAGGTGGGGAGGGACATCAGAGTGCTGAACTGCCCCTGGGATGATGTCACCAACTAGAGGAATGTGACTCTTCCCTGAAAATCGGTTCAGCCAGCTAGCTCAGGTCAATGCACCTGACTTCATAAAATACCTATATATGGTGAAACAAACCATGTTACAAGGTGAGAACAGCCTGGATTTAGCAGGGAGCTCTCTGGGCAGTAGTCTCCTAAATCACTGCTCTTTGCAACTTTTAATCACATCTGTTGTGGCAGTCGTATTTTATATATTCCACTTTCTAAGCACAGAAAACCTTTCCCAGAGTAAAAGCACAGTCCATGACAGAATAAGATCAAATAAAAATCCACTAAATTAAAAAAAAAAAGATTTCTAATTAGTAGCTCTAATTTCTCATGCTGCAGCACTCCCCTGTGAAAGAGGAAAATAGATAACAGAAGGGCTGCAAGAGACTATGGAAGCTTATAGAGACATGATCAACATTCAAATGATTGTCTAAGAATATTTTCTTCCTATTTGTATTGGTGCTTAGAGGTTCCTATATGAGAGAACAGGGTCTACACCTAGATCTCAAGTCCCAGGCTAGAATGCCAACCACTGGACCATCCTTCTTCACTGACAAAGAGCAGCATAACTTAACCTGTTGTGCTTGCTTTACCTCTGTCATCTTTGTATCAACAATAAGTCTCCTGGGAACTTCTGGGAACCATTTGGTAGCTTTGCTGCCCTTGCTCTGTCTCCATACCAGTAATGAGTGATGCTTAGGCCATCTATTGATTCCCAGCTGAGCCAAAGATATTCACTTGCCATGTCTACACATGTGCTTTACTGTGGAGTAGACTAATTAGCTGCATAGTAAATCATCGCCCTCCACACATGTGAAAGTATTAGGTCACAGTAAACTAATCTACACACTGGGGCAATTTACTGCCATTAAAGGCATGTGTAGACACTGACTGTGGGCGTAAACTGCACCTAGTTAGCCCAGCTAGTGGTAGGCCAGACTCCTGCCTGCTGCCTAGCCAAACGCATGCTTCAGCCAGCCCTTATGCTGCCACCTGGAAGCCATGCTTGACCCCCATGTCCCCTGTCAGCCAGACCTGCTGCACCCTGGCTCAGATTGCTGCTGTACCAGGTGCACGTGTAGATGCTGCACCTGGGAGTAGTTTTCTGCAGCTCAAACTGCTCCAGAGTTTATTGCTCTGCATTAATTCCACATGTAGATGCACCCACTGTGAAAGAAACCCCACTCACTCATCTTTGCGCTACACATGCCTTAGCCTGGAAGTTAAGCATTAGTCCAAGACTCAGCTGAGAGGCAACATTGACATGACCAGTTAAGAGTTCATCTACTCTGGAAAATGGTAGTGGTTGTGGAGAAGAGGATTTGGAAAAAAGATGTGGGGCTGGGATGGGACACAACAGGTAATATAAACAGCACAGAACGAAGAAGTGATTGAAATTAAAGCTCTTGTGCTTTATCTTCCCTTTCCCCTTTTTATTGAAGGTTTTGCTCTGCATAACATACACCTCTACCTTTGAGCTGAATGGAAGTTCAGTACTGAAGATTGCTGAGGTGAGTGACTTCCATTCCTAATAGTGCTTGTTTTACTTAACCTATTACCACTAAGTAGAGCATGCCTTCCCTAAATTAACTGGGTTTGAAGTAATCTGAATAGCTGTTGCACTCTTTTCTCAATGGAAAAAAATGTTACTGTTGTTACTGTTATATATATATATTTAGGTATGATTAGCAGTTGTACAGGGATGATAGCTGCACTAGAAGCTGCATTTTCTACTGGTGAAAATTCTTCTTGGAGCATGGACACACATGACATCTAGAATAGTAATGTTGCTTAAACTTCAAGAGGACAGATATACAAGCCTGTTAAACCAGTCTAAATCCACCTGGAATGGTTCAAAAGTGTTCCTGCAAAATTAAATACTATTTTGAATCAGTTTACACTGATTCAGTATTAGGGGTTGACACCAAGCGTTCTGTGATCTGGTCAGTCCTCCAGGCATCCCATATTGCATTGCCTTGTGCCTCTCCCACTTCACTGCAACTTGCCACTCTGGTGTGAAGCCCAAACTCTACTGCTCCCTTTATTTTTTTTTTAAACTTTTGTTGACACCATTTTTTATCAAAGACTTCCCTTGCACTGTTTCTGCAGTAAATGTATCTTTCTAACAGCCAGCTCTGTCCTTACTCCCTACCCAACACAGCCTATCAACATGCCCCTCTCACCCAACCCCCTCCAACTTCCGGGAACCAGAAAACATAGAACCAAGGACTACCTTTCCCCTCCGACGTCAGGCAAGTGCATTGTAGACTTCAGTTATTTCCAGGCTATTGAAGTTTTTTTAGCTTATGTTTAAGAAACAAGAGAAATTAGAAAAGTGACAATACACAAACTACAAGTTATCCAAGTGCTAGGACTTCTAAAGCATGGGTACAAGCACTCTCCATTCACCCATTTGTGAAACCTGCTGGGCTAAGTGCTCATTCCCACCCACTGGTATGAGCCACAGCACTTCACACAGTTGTGAACTGGTTCTCAGGGATGGTTCAATTATTATGTGTGTACACAATGGCACTGACATAAGGCTCTTACAGTATTATGTTTTTACTACTTGGTATGTGTTGTTTCATATTGCTTTGCTCTCACAGTAGTAAAAGATCCCTGCTTCATTTACTTTATGGCACCAGATAGAGCCAAATTCCTCTCTGATGAAACTATACCAAAATCCCATTAGAGTTGTGTGGAGCATATAATGTGTATTTGCAGTGTGTGCCTCACTCCTGAGGCTTCCATGAAAGGGATTTATTACGTCTCTAGATTTATTACATTGCCCTGTTGCCCTGAATCAGTCTTCCTTTTTTCTCATTAAATTTCAGTCTGGATTAATTTGTAAAAGAGCTTTGGCTGCAGGAAAAAAAATGAACCTGCCAAGAGAAGATTTGTTTGTAAGTGAGCATTTTCAGACAAGTTGCACAATAACAAGTAATGAGCCACTGGCCTGACATTTATCCAGGAAGGAACAGACACATCAGAACATTCATCCCTGTTGTTTGGTAGGGGCTGTTGCATTTAAAAATTAATATAAAACTATATAGAGCAAGTTCTGTAATATAGTTGCAGGGAACATATACAGAGTTCAGTACAAAATAGAGCAATGACAAGGTTTGTATGAAAATGCTTGAAACTCATTGATGGCATTCTTTTGTTTTTATTCCCTGTTGCTCAAAAGAACAGTTAATAAATGGGGTAAAAACATTATTTGTTTCCTTATTTCCACTTCAATTACACATGGAAATATCAGTCTGTACTCTACTTGTACTGAAAGAACTTCTGGACAGCTGCAAGTGAAATTAGTGGGTATTGAAAAGAAATTACTCAAAATAGCTTGGAAACATTAGCTTTTAGTTGAGGCACAAAGGAGGAAAAAACAGTGACAATGACTGGGTTTATACAGGTAGCTTCTTTCTAAATCTGAAGAATAAATTGATCCCTCATCATTTTGTTCCTATCTATGGCAGCAACCAGCAACTATTTACAGTTGTGAACTGGGACAACCCAGCTCTGGTCCAATCTGGACCAAGTGGCTTTGGAGACATGTCCGTAGCAAGAGGGTTTCCCTGCCCACTCAGCGAGGCCAGATAGCTGAAGCTACATTCCCCAGCCTCCAGCTCCCAGGCTGCAGTGCAGGTGCAGCTTCCAGCTGGTTGGAAAGCCATGTCTGCGTTGGGCAGCCATAAGCTGTGTCTTTGCTGCCTCTCCTTGTATCCTGCACCACCTCTCACAGCCGCAGCACAGCTTCCCACAAGGCACAGAACTGGGCACCACAGCTAGGGAACGGTTTAGCTAAGGGAAGCAGCAGTGATATAGGCACAGCTTCAAGCTGTTGTGCCCTAGCACATTTCCTTGCTGGTCCTCCCTAGTGTGAGCACAGGCAAAGCCCACTGGCTCCACAGGTTGGATCTGATGGGTCTGTAGGCCAGATCTTACCATCTCCTGATCTTGGAGGCAAAGGAAGCATGATAACTAAGAAAACAAGCAGGCTTACCTGGGTAACTAACCTTTCCTTCCTTTTTCATGTCCTTGTGACAAGGTATTTAGCAGCATTCATAGATTCATTGGAATCTAACAGGCCTTTACCATAAGCACTTCTGTGGCCTTGAACTTGCACCCATGCCACTCCAGCCCCTAGGTAACTAACCAGAGTTACCTGCAAAGGGATGCAAAAATATAGTCTCGATGCAAAGCATTGAAATTCTCTGTCGACCTACCATATGTACTACACATACATGACAACAATGCTGTCAGCTGCGGAGGTATCCCATCTGGAGTAGTGCAACATTAAGTTTATGGTGTAGACATAGCTGACATCCTTAAAATGGTTGGTATGTATGGCACATGCACAATACATAATTGTTATCATTTGGGATGGCCTGCATAGCTTCTAGTTTTGCCACTTTAGTAGTGTGAAAATCCTATACTCAGACTAGGTAGCTGCTGCTAAAGCTTCATGTGAGATTCCCGGGAAGATGTACTTACGCATGATCAATGGCCAGCAGCACTGGCAATCTTCCTACTCATGTTGCCCGTTTTTCAGGGTAGTCTAAGCCCTAATAGCTTTAATTCCACACGCAGAGGAGGAGTTACAGCTACTTTCCATCACTGAAGCTTCCCCTTTGTCAGACTTTCTATTGTACAGGTCAGAAACTGGTGAAAATCAAAGGTGCATCAAGCCCAATATATTGGTGTTATATCGGTGTGCTCTAGATAGAACCATATATACACAATAAAAACAGGGTTTAATAGTTCTCTCTAATACTTCAATCTTTGAGGCACTATACAGGCCTTCAAAAACAATGAATGCTAGTGCATGTTTCATGTTCTGTTCTCTAGAGGCATCCACAAACCATAAGTCTTCCCTCAAATCATATTTTCTATTCTGTGAATTCAGCTCACAATATGCAAATTATTGTTTTTCTATTTAAAATCTCTCAATAAATGTCAGCTTTTGTTTCAGCTAGTGGTTATGCCATATTATCACTTCCAAAGGGCCGGGTCTACACTTCAAAGTGACATGACTGTAGTTGCACAAGTTATCCGGGTGATATTTTACGACACTTATATACATGCAGAACCCTACTACAAATTCAGTTATACAGGCTAAAGCTTTTTTACCAATATAGTTTATTCTGTTCTTACTGGTAAGAGAGAGACCAGTAAAAACTCTTCCTTCTCTCTCTCATGGTTGCATCTACATGAGGACATTTGCCAATATAGCTGTCAGAAAAGAATGTGCCCAAGTCAAGATTTAATTGCCATTGATCTTTAAGTTGTATTGGGTACCTGTATCTTCAGATGCCTAAATACCTGTGTAAACCTAATCCTGGAACAGTATAAGGGCCTTAGACTTCCAATGATGAGGACTCAGTTCTCCTCTGTACCTGTACTCTAACCAGTAGTGTAACAAGGTGAGGGTGCAAATGGGGTTGAATACTGAGGGGTGCCAGAATCATCCCTCTCTCTGCTCCCTCCAGGTCTTTGTCATGGCATGGGCAGCCATGCATTGCCTGGCCAGAGGAACAGGCAAGTGCAACTCTGCACCCAGCAGCGTATCAGGAGCAGGGAATGAGTAGGGTGAATGTGGTGACACACTTGCCCTTTCCCCCTCCCTCCACTTTGCTGCAGGACCCAGTTTATGCTGCAGCAGCCCTGCACCCAGTTGAATATCAGGGAGGTGAGAGGGAAAGCAAAGTGGGAACCAGGGGCAAGCCCCCAGGGAGCCTGTGCCACGAGGCTGCTAGAGCACAAGCTGATGCTGCTACAGCAGCAGCAGTAGTAGTAGCAGCTGCCTTCACTGTGTAGTGAACAAAGTCCAGGTAAGATTTTGCTCCCCCTGCCTGCTGATAAGGCTCCTTGATTTATCACTGACCTGGCTCCAGCAGTTGTGGAGATGTTCTCTGACCCCTTTTCTCTCTGGCAGGCCTTCTTCCTTCCTTGATATGCCACACATATCAGAGTGGGACTGGAGCCTGCTTTGCTGTCTCAACTGGCCATGTACCCCAGGGAGTGCCCTATGATGGGAGTTCTCTGTGCAGACATCTGGCTGTCCTGTGACACCTAATTAATGCAAATTAGGTACTAAAATTAAAGACCCCTTAAGTTAGTAGACATTGGGCATATTGGCCCTTTCCTCAGCCTTAGCTTCCTTGCCCATAAATTTGGGATAGTATTGCCTCTTCATTTTGCTGCAATCCTGTGAAGAGGTTATATTTGTGAAGACTGCTGGGTACATGGCTTAGCTATTATTTGTATTGAAGGTACAGTAAATATTGCTGTATCTTGTTACTTACCATAGATTTACTATCTGCCGGGCTCCAGCATGAAAGGTTATTTCATGCTCATGATTATTATCTTTTATTCATTAAGGCATGCATGATGGGAGTTTGCCTTGTTGAACTCATTGTGTTACTTTGTCTAACCCACTGTGTTTTGCTTTCTTAGTTGTGTTTTGCCTGTCATAAAGCTGGAAGTCCCCGAATGCATGAAATGATCAAAGTGTCCATTGCTCACCTCTTCAATGCCCTGTGCTCTCGCATTTTTACTGGTGTCCCTTCACCAATGGCTTTTCACAAGGTATCATCACTGGGGACTCAGTAGCCCAGGAGACCCTTTTCAATCTTTTGTTCCTCTCCTTGGCCTTTTTAGAACATGGTCTCTCTCCAAAAAGTCTGCTTACAGGCATGAGTGAATATGAAAACACACACACAGAGTAGTGATTTTCAAGGAAGTTGTAACCCCTCAAAATGAATGTAACCCTTATGCACCTGAATGGTGGCTGCTTGAAGAATATCCAAATATTACAAAAACAGGGGCTAAGCCATAACAGCTGTGCATAAGCAGAATTGGAGAACTTGCTGTAGACCAAAGATAGTGGAGTTGCTTCTTTGGATCACAGTTTATTCATAATTTCTAGGGTCGGAAGGGACTTGAGCAGATCATCAAGTCCGACCCCCTGCCATGGCAGGAAAGAGTACTGGGGTCAAACGACCCCAGCAAGGTGATTGTCTAGCTTTGTCTTAAAGACCCCCAGGGTAGGAGCCAGCATCACTTCTCTTGGAAGTTGGTTCCAGATCCTAGCCGCCCTGACTGTGAAGTAGCCTCCTGATATCTAGCCTAAATCTACCCTCTGCCAGCTTGTGACTGTTATTCCTATTATTGATAGGAGTCTGTTCAATGATCTGGTCCCAATAGGAGGCACTAATTACCTCATAATCAAACCAGAGGCCCTGCATCAAAAATGACAGCACAGTAATTACTAATGTTTTTGGAGAGACACTTTTCTGAAAATGAATCTTATAAAGGACACTGCAGTTGGCACCATCCCTACCCACAGGATTCAAGCTGTATTGCAATTTGGTGTGTCCACAAAATATCACCTTTGGGCATATATCAAGTATGAAAAATTTGATCCCTGAAGGAAAAGGTCTGAGCAACTAAAGACAGACTTAGAATAGACACTCTGCTCAACATTAACAATAGCAATATTTTTCTCCATTTATGGGCACCTGAAAACCTTTGGATACTAACAAAAATAAGCTAAAATCATGATGTATAGTAAACTGAGATGCCAGTTGCTTCTTTAATAACAGGAGCTGTTTGAAATTTATACAAAAACCCATTTCAATGATAATTGACACAACATAATTAAAAAAGGTTTTGTGCCTCAGCTGAAAATGTGAGTTTTATATTTTGGAAGCTGAGTTTAGAATGATGGTCTATACTGATTTTTTTGGTCCTTGTTGGTGTCATGACAATGTCACTGGAATTAAACAATACGACTAATATTTAAGAAATATGCACTATGTAAAGCAAATGCCAGAGCACCAAAGTTTAAAACCAAAATTTATGCTACTTCAAGAGAAATAAAACTTCAGTAACCTGCCATATTTTCTGCTGCTTATTGATGTTTAATTGATTTTTGGCTATTCACATTGCTGAAAATGTTTTGACCCCCACAAACTAGTAAATCTTCGGCATAGCTGAGAGCTTGATTTTAATCCAGGATTGGTTATTTATAACTTTAATTTCTTATCTATGTGCTGTTTTCTTGCTTCCTAACCAGGTTTGCATTGAAACATATGTGTCTAGCTGTCACCAGCGGAGTATTAACACTGCTGTGCGCGCAACCCTCAGCCAAATGTTGAGTGACCTGACTTTACAGCTCCGGCAAAAGCAAGAGAACACAGTGAGTCTTCCTTTATAAGCAGATGGTGGAGTGTTTCACATGTGTCTCTGTATGCAACATACCGTGGCTATTGGCTGTACCTTATGGCTTCAGTTGAGCGTTCCAACATGACTACTGTTTTAAAACCATCTCTCTTGTGAGGCTTAGTCTGCTCTCCTAGCAAACACTCCATCAGAGCCAGAACCTTCGTGTTGTTCAATCTTTTCTTCCAGCAGACAGGCTTAGTGTTTTGTTTTGCAGGAAAGGTATTGTGCTGCTGTTAGATTGCCTTGACCTTGCTTCCTTTTCTCTTGCTTTTCTCTTGCTTACTGTTTTTGTTCATCATTCTAAGGTCCAGGCAAAATTATTTTTGCACTGAAGTTCTTGCATAATAATCATTGCACATACAGAACAAATACTCAGCTATTGAAACTATAGCTGACATTTTTATGATTTTAATGAGAAGATTGAAGCAAACGAATGACATGAGTTAGCCAGAGGGCTTTTTAACCGTCTGGCTCATTGGCAAAAATAACTGGAATATCTGAACTCTGTTGCAGGGCTGTCCAACTGTCAGCCTGCAAACTGTATGAGGTTCATCATGAGGTTAATTTGTGGCCCCCGGGCTCCCACTCAGCCACTGCTTCCCCACCATTCCAGCTGCAGCAGCAGCCAGGATCTCCAGCTTCTTGTCCCTCCTCCTGTTTCTTGCCAGTACTTCAGGGGTATGGTGGCCATAGTGTGGTGTACCCAGGGAGCCAAGGGTGAGGGCCAGGGTGTGTGACCCAAAGGACCCCATTTCTTTCCATGTGCCATGTATTTCCCTGCTGACATGGCCCATGTGCTGTGTGGCTCCCAGTCACTTGGAAGTTGGACAGCCCTGCTCTGCATGACAGCTGTTTGCACTACTCTTTAATCATAGAATCATAGAAAATGAGGGTTGGAAAAGACTTCGGGAACTTACCTAGTCCAACCGCCTGCTCAAAACAGGACCATCCCCAACTAGATCATCCTAGCCAAGGCTTTGTTTAGCTGAGCCTTAAAAACCTCAAAGGGTAGAGATTTAATATATTACCCAGATGGTATTGTAAGCACTTCTGCACAATTTTGAAATCATCTTGGCCCTTTTTGCACTTGTTAGCACTGTTTTACAGATTAATTAAGAAATGTTTTGGCTTTGTTTGTGAGGCTGTTTTTTGTTTGTTTGCAAATGTGCTTTTCAAAAAAATTTTCTTAAAGCATTTGTGAATTTAGTGATTCAGTTTCTGGTTAAATAATCAGAAATTTGAGTCTAGTTCTATCCTGTAGAATAGCTGCAAAAATGAGTCTGTATATATTTATTTGTATTCTCTGTATCAAGTGTGGCTAGTTTATAAGTCAAAAGACTTTCTTAGAATGTAATTTTATGTTATTTTCCTAAGCGGTAGCTCCACTGATTCTATGGAAAACTGACAACTGAGTTGCATACTTTCTGTTCTTATACCCTTGCTTATAGACATTATGCAGGTTGTATGTAGCTCCTGGCAAACTGATGAGGCTGACAGGAGTTCAACTGAGTCTTCCATGAGTTCTTTGTAATCCAGGGAAGAATCATAGAATCACAGAAAATAAGGGTTGAAAGGGACTTCAAGAACCCTGCACTGTATTATACTGTGTTTACAGTGTTAACAGAAATCAAGAGATGCATTTTTTTTTTCAAGAGTACCAAACTGACTTAGGAGCTAAGTCCTATTGAAAGTAACCAGGACATAAATATTTGGGGCACACGTGTGTTTTGAAGGCACCAGCTAAAATCAGTTGGGTGCCTAAATACTTTTTAAGGCTCTGGATCTTGGGAGCTTATGTCCCAATTATTTTCACCAGGAATTTGGCACCTAAATTTTAATCATGTTTAAATGTTGGATTTTTGAATGTTTTTTTTTTACAAGAAATACATACGTGACCTTGACACAAAGAAATAAGTATGTTGAGAAAGAAGATGTCATTCTTGCATCTCTCTTTCCTGAGAATAACCCCACATTTAAAACTTTTACATGTTAATTCTAAGTCCTTTTGTATGCTGGATATTCCTACAATTTTCTTTCACTTGTACTAATTCTCTTCTTTCAACAGCAGGTAACTGAAAATCACGAAGTTCTGCAGGAGTTCAGGAGTCAAGGTATCTGTGCCACTTATTTTAAAGACAAAAGAAAAAAAGTTTCTTGTCCCTTATTTCTTCACATTCATTGAATCCTTGCACTGTTACCAAAATACTCCATTGTCACAGTGATTACATCCTTTATGACAAGGATGTCAATTAGAGTCGTGTCATCCAGCCTGCTAGGCTCCTGGTGGGGCTTGGTATGTAGGGGTGAGGTCAGCAGTGGCAGGAGTAATCTTCATGGCTCCCTGAGCTGACCCAGCACCTCACAGGGCTACATGGGTTAACACACTGTCTTTTTGTTCTGGGTTACTGAGCCCCCTTGGAGACTTGTTTTGGTGGCAACGGGGTGAACAACCACTATGTTAATTTCTGCAGCTTTCTGAGCCAACACAGCAGTTCAGGTACTCTTGTTGGTTAACACTATCACTGCTTGGCCTGCTACCAGAGATGGGTTTGAATCTAGTCCACAAAGAGCTCCACAGTCTGGATCCAGCACTGAGGTCCAAACAAGTTTGATAGTACTGCTCTATAGAATCATATTATTAATTACATTATCGGTGGCTCGTACCCCATTAATGGTTTCAGTTAGTTTCAGAACTGACCGTTGTTTTCAGATCTTTGATAGCTTACAACATTTTTAATCACACCTTCATCTGTACCATCTGAACAGTAGTGCATACAGGAAAGCAAGAATTATTTATTATAAGACACTATCTCTGCAATCTTAAGTGTTTCAGTGAAGTGGGTTTCCCTCCAAACATTTGAACAATGTTCTAAGGCCATTTTCTTCAGATACTAGAAGAAGGATGGAGATGGGCACACAGTTTCTTACCTGCTGGGCAGCCAGGTGATTTAACCAATATATAATAGCTTCTGTGATTTGTCATAAATTTTGCCAGTCCTGAGACACAGTTCAGTTAGAAGGGGGTTGTGAATGAGTCACACCTTCATCCCACTATAGCAACAGTTTTTTAAACAGTTTCCTCAGGAGTCTGTCTTCACTACTTGCCTGGTTGCTAGAAACTCTTCTGGATCCTGATCCTGTAATCAGATCTGTGTGGGAAGACTGTCGTACCTCATGTGGACTCCACTGATTCCATACAGACCTTTGGTCTTATGTACATAGTTCCTCTTGAAGTTTCAGAGCCTCCCACTTCTACATACATTTCTGGTGGTTCAGAAGACCAGCACAGAAACAAACCACAGGAAAAAGCATATCCAAGTAAATTTGCAGATACTCGGATACCATACAGAAGTCACTGGAGCCAATTAATATTTTTTTCTTATCGCTTGAATTACTGTCAAGGCCCAAAACTTGCATAAGTGTATTTGGGAGACATTTGAACGTCCTTAGGGAGATACACTTGTCCAGTCAAAGCCACTATTTAATGCCATACTTAATGATCTTTGTCCATCCTTTTTGAGGTTCTACAGTAGAGTCCCTTTGTGATGATGTTGTGTCAGTCCTCACTGTGCTCTGTGAGAAACTCCAAGCTGTCATAAAGTAAGTGGGGCATCTGTTATCTGTATGGTTACTTGCATATGATGATTCTGGCTTAATTCTAGATTAACAGAGCAAAATCATTTGTTGCATAATTACTTGTCAGAGGAATCCTGTGTCTCTAGCAGATCGATAATTCTGTATTAATTCAGCCAGTGTTTGCAATGAGAAACTGATTTTAAACACCCACACAATTTTTGCTATACAGCCTCAAGTAAGCAACAGTATTACCTTCATGGCAGCAACCTTTATTGTTAGCAGGAACCTTTATTGGTATGTGCTGTTCCATACAGTAGCAGCACACATCAGGTAAAGGGAAATGTTTCCTTCCTAGAAATGCTGTGCATAAGGAACACATCCACAAAAGTGAGAAAAACAAATATCATAACAACACTGCTGTTCTGTGACCTACCATTAAACTACATCAGAATATTGTATTCTCTGTGTACACGATGTACTGTTATATAAGGCGAGCCCCCTAAAAAATTATTAAAATTGTGCTTTTACAGTATATCCCACAGCTTTTCCCTGCCTGGTCCTGGAGGGTCAGCCCTTAAGGGTCTGTTTAGATTGCTACAGTTCTTTCCCTTCATAAGCTCCCCCTCCACCCGCTCCCCCTGGCCCCTTCCGCCCCACCAGCCTGCAGCCTCTTATCAGTGCCTCTAGATTTGTCTTCAAGGAGCTAGTATCTAATTTTAATTATCTGTTTTGTTGAGAGGGTTTGTTTTTTGTTTGTTTTTAACTTCCTCAGCTTTATTGTATAAGATGTACTTTACTTTGAGAGCCCATTTTGGTGTGAAAAGCCATGTTTTATATATTAGAAAATATGGTAGGACTTTCTAGTATTAGAAAGCAAATATTTACCATTTACAAGTCATTTGCCAACACGTAGTATTACTAAAATATTACAGGTATTTTCTAAGGTAACTATTAGTTTAGCTGTAACAACTCCAATTACTTGAAAATGGCATAAATTGACATTATGGCAATATATATGTACAATACATGTGTACAATAAGGCATTTATATTGCATCAAAACACCATAATATGATCTATATCTGAATACTGATTCAGATTCTCTGCTGGTTTAAACATCATGATTTTAGTTTTAATATCACCATTTTAAATATCCATGAATTTTTACATCATATGTTTTAGTTTTAAGTGGTTTGTCCTTGTTAGTTGTTGCATATCACAGAAACCCATTGGCCTAGGCTGGTCAGTACAAGCTAAGAATCTGGCCCAATGATCTTTAATAATATTTTTGATGTTACTTAGTATGCCTTAGTTTATCCAGTATTTGGTAAATCTGTATAAAATACAACTTGCCCTCTATATACCACTTTTCCATTGAAGACCTGAAAACAGATTGCATAAGTGAGCAACAGTTCTCCCCATTTTACAGAAGAGGAAATTGAGGTATGCAGAAAAGAGTCTTGCCGTGGGGTTCATATGGCCGCGTTGTGTTAATTTATACAGGGCCCTTATTTGAGGTGGTCCAGAGCCATGTGGCTGTGGAACAACAGGTCCTTTTAGACATGTGGGGCATGCATGAGGAGCACTTCACTTGAAGGCTAAGTGTGGCCAAGTAGTCTGTAATTTACTGAAAAGGCTTCCTTTATCCTGGAGCCTTTAGTCAAGTGAATAGTCTTGACTTGTGCACATTAACTCATATACACTAACAGGACTGAGCAGCTGCTTTAAGAACTGTATGGTCACTGCCTTCTGTCTGCAGTGCTTTTCTTTCCATTTCCTAACAATGATGCTCCCAAGGGACAAGAAGGGCTGAATTAGTTCAGAAAATATTGCCACTGTTGTTTTGAAATGTTGTTAAGGGGCATTTTAGAAGGTAATATTAGCATGAGAATTAATTTTAACTATAAATAATACTTTCTGTTTCTGTAATAAAAGTACTTGCACCCTCAGCATCAGATTGTTTGCATTTGGTTTCATTTCTAAACGCATTCCAGTTCCAAGAAAAGAGATGTGATTTTGTTGTTTTGCTAATTGAAAAATAGGTCCATTTCTGACTGAAACTGATCTGCCCCATGGAACCCTATCATCAGGCCCATGGTGCTGCCTATGGGGCTCAGAGTCGCCCTGCATGCCATGTCCTGGTACCACATAGTTAGTGCATGTTGTACAAAGAACCAGTCTGTTTCACATAGGGCTAAAACCAGCACACACAGGGCACACAGCCAGTCAGGTGCATGTTACATGTGTACTCTCACTGGACTGGTGCCGAGTTCTAGATCCAGTGCATGGGGCCAGTCTGTGAACCTGATCGGCCCTCAAGAATTGGCCTCGTGCTCCTCATCTGGTCTATGGGTCTGAATGAGTTAGATACCTCTTGTTCGTACTGTGTTTATGATACCTCTTGTTGGTGCTGCAGCCACTTCCCTGACTTCTGCCACTGGGGGACCCCATGTGTCCCCCTTGACTAAGGTGGCGCCAGTCTCCCGTGCCAGATACCTTGTTCCAGGCAGACCCAAAACCCTCAGACTGACCATGACCTTTCCATTTGATAGTAGTCAAATTTTATTGATATGCAGTGACAGCAGATAAGAGTTATGTAAACAACTCTGTATTTACCAGGCCTAGAGCTCTCATCAGAGTCAAGGTATGTCTGGCCAGTATGCGAGCTTCACCCTGAGGTTCTCTCTTGAATGTCAGATGTCAGCAGCCTGGAGGTCGGAGTCTGAGGCCCATTTCCCCATCTTCCTCCCTCTCCACCCCCTGCATCCACCCTGCCCTCATCCCACTGTCATCCACCTGCAGTAAGGTAGATAAGACAGGTTCATGGTGTGCCCTCTGTCCATGGTAGCCTCAGGTTCCCCTCTCAGGGACCCTTTGCTGCTCTGAAATCCCTCCTTTTGTATCTTTCCTCGTTCTGTGATGACTTTTCATCTCTGGCCATCACTGATTGTTCTTGCTGTTGTTGTCATACTGTCCACGTCTGACCTGTCAGCATAATCCTTTGTTTCACAAGCCCATCACATGTATACATCCTAATTTGGGCTTTCCCAGTACCCTCCTAATTTGGTCTGTTCCCCCAAAACCAAGGGCTCTGCACTAGGGCCCTGTGATCTGGTTCCACCTTATCTTATGTTATGGAACAGTGTGTTACATGTCTTTAATTTCCCAGTCTGTGCCTACTCGCTGCTTGCTTGTAGTAGACACAGCGGGCCTTGGATAAACTTACTCACAGACTGGCTTTTTAGAAATCGATTAACCCTTGCTGTTGCCCTGGACTATTATTCTATTGCATATCTACTTTACCTATAAGCCTGTTCCCAAAAGCAAACCTCTAAATACCACTTTCTAGGCATCACCTCTGAGCTACATGTTTAACTTTCCATATCACGAGTAGTCATGTCCTGCTGAGAGCAGGACCCTTGCTACTGACTTCAGTGCACCTAGATTTTTGTTCACCAAACAGAAAAATGAACTGACATGTTTCACTTTGCAAGACTGGGAGCTAACATGTGACGCTGGGAACTTGTTGCTCCGCCAATTACCAGTTTTCATCCTAAAGTATATAAAAGGTTGTCTGTTTCAATGCTAAAACTACCATCATGTTAATATTCTGAACATATTAGAAAATGGAGAACAATATATATTTGCCTCAGTTGCATACAGTCCCATTATCAGTGCACATAAATAAACTTTGATTAAAAAATGAATACAAAACCCCTTAAAACTGGTATTTTAGCAAAATCCTATTAATGTGCTACTAACTAATCAATCAGAAAAAAGCCCAGAGCAGCTTTGAGGAAATGAATCCAAAGCAAAAGTAGAAGAAACATTTATAGAGTGATGACTACAGAAATCTAAATATGACGAACTGTTATCTCTCTGAAGATTTAAAGGAGATTTTGAGAAAAAAATACCATTAAAACCAAGCTTTTACTAGTTACGCTCTTTGTTACAAAGACTGCTTTGAATGAAAAGGAAGAAGTTGTTGGAAGCTATTTTCCAAGCTACAAATTAGAATGAGCAGAGAAACATTGATCTGTGTAAGAACGTGGGAACATAACAACCCACTCCTAGGTTTTCCTGCAAGTCCTTTTGTAAAGTTGCATGCATGCTGATGGGGCAGAAGCATAGGTCTTCAAAACTATGTGCTCAAAATATAATGTCCCTTCAGTTTCATGAGGAGCTTCTGAAAGTAAAACTGGCCATTTGTCTGAATGCTAAAATTTAAACCAGTCGTTGTCTGATGGACAGTTTTACTCTTACATAATCGCTGTAGGTGAATTATCAAAGCTAAACTATTTGATAGGATTTCTTATTTTTATTTTTTTAAATTGATGAAAGAGGCTCATCGAGAGGTTTGTCTACTATCCTAAATCAGCAGAATGTGCACTGAATCAAAACAGATGAATGCTTATTGTAGCAAGGCACAGTAAGAAATAAATGGAACCTAAAATACTCAGTGAGCCCTGACTTACTGCAACAATATGTCCATCTAGCATACAGGCACTAATTTGTAATGCTAGACCAATATTCTTGGGGTCTTTTAATTAACAGAGAAACATAGTGAATTATTCTGATTTAATTCAGGAAAGGTTTGTTAAAGACTTACTTTAGTAATTTTTAAGAGGAGGGAGGTTGGAGAGCTGTTATTCCTCATTTAGCACTAACAGTGGCATCCCCTCAAAAACAGCCCATCCGAGAGCTTCGCCCTGAGCAGCCTTTAGGTCAGTGAGGAGAAGCTTTGATTTATTATACTGTCTGATCTAATCACCTAACCTGGTAATTACTTTAACACAGTGTTCTTAATTGCAGGCATATTGGTTTTTGCCTTTGAGTGTAGCAAGGCTGTGGGTGCTGAGAGAGAGGGTTAAGGGAGATGAATTTTAGTTACGACTTCCATGACCCTGAAACAATGAAGCCTGGGATCTCTTGAGTGTATTTTAACACCTTTGCAGCAGCAAGATGTTGGCTGTCCTGGTTCCCCTGCTTAGCCTGTAAATGTCCTTGTGTTAAGTCTGGGATAACTAATTTTGCTCAGAGGTTAAATTATAGATTTGTATAGGATGACTTGAATAGAAATGATCCTATCTCTGGCAGGGGGTTGGACTAGGTGACCTCTGGAGGCCCCTTCTCACACTACTTATCTGTTTCTGTCTTCACACTAGTGATTGCAGTTTACTGACTCTGCCCCCCCCCCCCCAAAAGTCACATGTAATAATCACAGAAAAGCAGGGCCAGAAGGGAACTCCAGATGCCATCCAATCCAATCTCCTGTCCAAGGCAGGATCATCCCCATCCAAACTTGATGTGGTTACATGATTCCCACCACACCCCCACCCCAACAGGATGGCTTTTATAGACTAGAGATTTTGCTGAGTTTGCTATAATGGCTGCCTTTCAGAAGTCTGGATGGGAAAAAATTTCAGAGAATGATAACATATCTGTTTGATAGGAAGAATTAAGATAAGAACACTGAACATTCTTTAGTTTGCATGAAGAAAATGTTAAAAACTTTACAGGGGGTTGAAAAGAATTCTTCATATTTGTACAAGAACTGTTTTTTCTCTGTCAAATTTAATTTCAATAACTGCGTCCATTTTATCTCTTCTTTTTTTCTTGGTAGATGTTTTTTCTCTTATTTCTCATAGTTAAATGTGATGAACTAATTCCCTGCTTTCCTTGTTGCCTGTTTTTACTGAATGTCATTAAAAACAAAGTAAATAGGATGATGAAGGGGATTATACAATTGGAAATCTATACCATTTTGAGGCAGATGCAGGATAATGCTGTGCAGTAAATTAGGATAATGGGCACATGAACTAGTAGAGTTCTCCAAAAGGAATAATAAACAGATCTCGTAAATCTTTTTCATCCTTGAGGAACAGTCTTTGTTTCTGTTTGACAGTGAGAATCAGCAACTGCAGCTTCTGTACCTTGAATGCATTCTCTCCATGTTAAATAGTTCATCTCCCAGCATGCACCACCACAAAGGATTTACTGACCTCATTTGGTAAGTACACACATTTCATTCCCGCATTTATAAAGTGGACCAGAGCTTGGCAATTATAAATGTTCTAGGTTTTTGCTTTTTATTTACAAAAGAAAAGAAAAAACTAGAGGAAACCTAAAACAAATCATGCAGTGGGAAATTATGCTCTGCCCTCGCTGTGGAATACACTATATCCAATACTTTGAGTGATAAATTGCTAAGCATTGGGTCCTCTTAATCTGCTAACACACACAGTATTTGCAGATGGTAGAAACAGTCGAAAGAAGTACACTTAATACTATTGATGTTGTTGGTTGCAAAGAAGTTATTCCTCACAGTGTAAAGTTTGTCCTGGAAATTATTTTCCATGCTTACGCAGTGTGGCACCAGTTACACCAAGTGGCACAAGAGGATCCTTCTTGTTATGTGATGTAACTACGTTGTGTAATAGTTGTAGACAGGAGAGAAATTTAAAAAAATAGAACAAATTTGAATACCTATATTTTTTGCTTGAGGCTGTCCTTGCTATACAAACATTTAAAGGGCATTATGATGGGGTTGGATGGTAATGGATTTACATACAAGAACTTGTCATTGGTTTGAATCCAGGCTTGATTGGCACTAAAAGTTTATTATCAAGCTATAACAACTTTGGATAAGCTGTGCTTGAATACTTGGATTACACATTCTTAGACTGGCTGGGACTGGAGAGAGGTTCATGGTCATGGCCATTAGATGCACAGTGGGCGAAGACCCTGTGTCCTGCACCTCTTTATAAAAGATGGGACTCTGCTATCCAAGGGCACCTATGCACATGCCCGACACCTGCTCAGACAAGTTCTAATTAGAATGAGTCAGAGCAGACTCGATTAATCGAATCTGGACTCAAAACTGGATTGAGTCTTCTGGAGTGCTGTAATTGGAATGCTCCAGCAGCCTTGGCGTTGCATGTATTCAGTGCCCCTGTATGCCAAAATGGTGGCAGGGGTGCTTTAACTAAAGCTCATCAAACAAGCTTTAGTTAAAGTGCCTTCACCACCATTTTGAAGCATTGGATGCTGAATACATGAGATGCTGCAGGCATTTTCATTAGAGTGGTTCCCTAGAGCTGCTCTAATTAAAATGCACTCCTCCCACACACCCCGGAGCACATGTAAAGATGCCCCAAGTGCCTAGTCCCTCAAGATATAGTGCTGACTGTCCCATACCTCTCCAGCAGCTCTTGCTTCTCCCACTAAGTCTGAAACCCTGTTTTCCCCATTAAGGGGATGCAGAAGATTTTTTTATCTCAGGCATACTTTCTCTATGACAAAGTGTGAGAAACTGCTCTATGGAAATAACCAAAACCACATTATTTGGCTTGTTCCTTACAATTTTCTAGGACTCTCGTGTCCTCCTAAATGATTTATCTTCTGATTTTTTTTTTTTTTTTTTTTTTTTTTTTTTTTTTT